TATCTATCTATCTATCTATCTATCTATCTATCTATCTATCTATCTATATGTAGCCATATGTATGCACGTCTGACAAAAGAAAATCTGATTTCTCATTGACCCTTAAGAAGTCCTACTACAAATGCAAATTACAGCAGGATTTGTGGCTGTATTAACACATAATTAGGTTTTATGTAGATTTGAAGTATTTTTACCCTTTTGGTTTAAATAAATATTTTCTGCACCATCCTTTAGGTTTTGTTTTCGGGGATAGCATCATCATGTGGTGGGCCCTTACTGTGGTATGAACACGCACGAAAACGGTTTTGGTGTTTGCGTATTTGTGGCCAAGCCTTGCTGACAGAACGACATGAAAACCAAACCCAGGTTCAGCTCATAGACTCCATCAGAGGGGACATTTCCAATGTGGCTAAACAAAAAGACTCAGCCTTTGCTAATCCCACTCTAATTTTATCTATTTTGGAACGATTCTCAAGACTAAACGATTTAACAAAGTCCATCAAACCAATGGCACCATAATTCCTTCTGGGGAAAATGCAATTACTTTCCATTTAACAAGACAAGCTGATGGCGTCTGAATGGGCCTCTATGGGGACGGAAGCAGTTCGGGGACAGAACCATGAAGCCTTTGAATGCAGCACTGTCCGATTGATCAAACTGCTGTACTTGAGTAAATGCATCGCCTTTTACTGTCCACAATGTGGGATTCCTCTTGAAGAACAGACCATTATCTCACATCTAACAAAGAGCAAGTGTATCTGAAGCATCTTCTGAATAGTGGCCCACATTGAGGCTTCTTGGCAGCGTTTAAGACACTGGAGAAGACAGAGACTGGCACTGAACGAAGAGTGCGTCTCTGTTCGAGCGCGTCATTTTCCACATCATGATCATCTTTATTCATAATAGATGGTATTAAACATGGAAGGTGGAAAAACACATATCTGAGGGTATAAAAAACCCTCCGTAAAACACAGCACAGCACAACAACCGTGCATATACGTGAAATAACCAATCCGTGGGGGGAATAAAATTGCCCCCGACATGCTAAAATAGGTAGGAAAAAGCTTTGGAGCTAAGGAAAGAAACAACACACAACTTATTTAGAATGTTTGAGTCGGTGGTGGTAAAATTAAGACTCAAAAATGTGGATCTTGGCAGCATATGGAAAGCGGTTGTTATTGTGTGTGGGCAAAAGTGATGACATCACTCGCACTTCAATCTAAACTTGCTCGGTTTCCCCGTTTGGGACTCTTGTTGTGACTTTGGTCTGTGTGTAAATAAACTGCTGGGAGGAACTAAAACTAAACACGAAAACAGGGGTCGGCAACACCACCTACGGAGGAATGCAGGAAGTCGGATTTTTCTTGTCGGTTTTACACCGACGTCAGGTATGCGGCCCTGATTAAGTTTGACTGAGCAAAACCACATGATTAACTTTGGGGTTAAGGTTAAGCTGTCCACAATGAGTCGGAGCCCGATGTCCTAATAAGGGCAGCCGCGCAAGCTGTTGTGTGTTTGTGTGCAAATAAAGCGTCGGTCGTGAAAAAAGGGAGGCTGTCCTCCGAGTAGCGTGTAGTGCCCAGATTTCCCATGAGCCTTTGAGGGCGGAGAGTTGGATGCAAACTTGGCTCCGAACGCAGCCCACTTCTGGATTCAATTTATTCCTTATGGGACGCACTCACACACACACACACACACACACACACACACACACACACACACACACGTTTGTGTTCATGCCTCTGTGGGGACATTCACTGAGATAATCCCAACCTGAACTTTTAATTTAGATCTGACCTCAGAAGAAGTTGGGGAGCTATAAAAAGTATTCACATTAACATTTTTTTGTTGAAATGGCATTCTCGTTCCCTTCCATGTTACATTTTGTTTTCATGAGAAGTAAATCATGCTGGGTTGTTTTTTTTACATCATCATAGAGTATCGATACGTGGTATTTGCTAATTTTAGCCCTTTTTTTTACAGGCTGTGCTGTGTTGGGTACCATTATTACAACATGAACCTTTATCTGTTTGTGACAACATGTCTGATAGAATGCATCAGAGTCTAAAATAACATTATAGTCTTCCATCTTTTGGAGTGAAATTGCTTTAGTCAGTTTGCACATTGCTGGTTTGTAAGATGGCGAGTGTAACACCGGAGCAGATAACAGTTTTAAACAGCATTCAAGTGATCTTTTTAATAATATCATATGATATCTAAATCATTAGAATGAGAATTTTCAGTCATTTGTTTCATAACATTATCTTTTAAACATGATTTTCCACTTATACACTCTGTTTTATGGCTAATGTTTCTGAACCGATTTGTAAATCAATTAACGTTTTTTTAAAACTAATTTAGCACTAGAACTGCCACTATAAGTACCAGTTTTACTCTCTATGAAGGTGTCCAACCACCAACATTTCAGCCTTATTCTCAGCCAACGGCGCGCTGGCCCTCACAAAGATAGAAGTGTGTTCCCTCTCGCAGAGTCAGAGCGAGCCGCGCTGCTGAATCTAATTACAACGAGCATTTTGCTTCTCAGCTCTTTTGGTTTTTCTTCTTCTTTTGTCCTCAGCGGCGTTGAGAGAAACATCTGGAACAGTTCCCTCTGTGTGTGAGACAGTTAATGAAGTGTTATGTCATTCTTTCAGTGCATATCTGTGCACGGGGCGTGCAAGATTATTGTATGGTGTGTGGTTCAGTTAGCTTTAACCGTGTGTGTATGTGTGTGTGTGTGTCCACACAGAGCTGCATTTCTCTTTTGGGGTGTCGTTTCTATCCTAAGAAAGGGCACATTGTTGTTTCTCCACACTTTTATAAACCTTTTACACTTTTATGAAGCGTGGAAACTCATAATTCCGCTTTTTTGCAATCAGCTTTGTGAAATATCAATTTGCATTATTGATCATATCAAATAGCTTATCAGCTTATTAGTGATTTCATTCTGATTGACCCAAAAAATGTTTTAGTGTCATCTTGTTTCCTCTGGGTGTGACAGTGACGTGGCAAAGCAACACACACACACACACACACACACACACACACACACGCACAGAGCGAAAACATGCTCATTGAACAGAGTGCAACAGCCTTGTGTGAGTAAACCTTTATACAGAATAAAGACATAAAGAAGGCAGGTAAAAAGGGAAATGAGAGTAAATACTGTTGTGGCTTTTCAAAGTTTTGAAATGTTGATTCTGACAATGCAAAAGTTGCTTCTTTCCTCTGGAGGCCTGATAACATCGATTCAATCTGTGGACAAACACTGATTGGAAATCCTTTTAGACTGCTCTAATATTCAGCTTTGCCAAAGTTGCATAAAGAAAAACCCTGTTCTTTCCCAGCAATCCACAGATATCTCCTTTTAAAGCACCTTATAATGACGCACACCACAGTGTTGTTTCATCCTGAGACCTTTTTCGCATCTTCTCCGGAACGTTTTTGAGAGCCACACGACCCATCTCCCGCCTCTGCCTCTCGTCCTGCAGGTCTCCCAGTGGTCGTGCGCTCTTTCAGCCACCTGAAATCCAACCTGTGCAAGTGGTGCGAGGCCTCCAGTCCCGTGTGCAGAGACAGCGTCTGCCTGAGCAACTGCACCCTGTCGTCCTTCTGCATCATGACCGAGGAGATCTGCATCGCCGTATGGTGAGCAAACCCACCTCAACTCCAACTGACCAAAGCCTTCTATCCTCAGCCAAAACTCTGTGACAGCAAAGAGGTTCATGGTATTATATGAATATGTCTTTGTGTGCGTTTTTCCTCTTTTTGTGTGTCTTTTAAAACTTGCCATATGTCTTGTTTTGTTTCTTTTTACTCAGGTATTTCGATAATAAGTCATTTTTTTGTGTCTTTCAGGAGTTATTTACGTCTTGCGTGTGCTTTTTTATACACCATTTGTTGCCACATTGCATCTTTGGTAGTGGCAGTTTATTCCCTTTGTTATCAGTTTGTGAGTGTGTGCTTGTTTAGTCTCTCCAGTGTCAGATGGCTGAATATCAGATATTTTTCCATACAAATGTCTGACCGGAAATATAAAGGGAGAGCTAAAACATTGCGGTTAATCGCATGATTTATAGTCTTTTTCAGGCTGACCGTTCAGAGATTTAGTCAGCGATTTTAATGTAAAGTGGCATATCCAAAAACATTCACCTATCAGAAGCTTGCTGCCCATGTTGTTCAGCACAGCCCCCAAAAAATCCAGGTGGATCTGGAATATTCCTGAGCTGCTTCAGCGTGTTATGAAACATCCTGAGGTGGTTTCCCTCAGCAGGACGTAAAAATGTCATGTTTGCTGCCATTAAGTTCTTTTTTTATTTTTTTTTATCTTTGCCCTGGTCTGCTGCTATCGCTGTCTTTATGACTGGAAAGTTTCTGCTGATTGGTACTTTTGTTTGGATAACAGTCCTACGCTCGGATCCCCCTGCTGCACCCCTCTCATTTCCTGTTCACATCAGCCCGCCCGAGTCCTTCCAGCTTTTTGCAGGAAATCAGAGATAAGAAGGAACTGACAGGAGAAAAAACAGAGGAATGAAACGGTTTATTCAAGACAGCCCGCAGAAATCACACACTGTGTACGCAGCACTTCGCCAGGTTACACAACAACCACCGTTTTTTTGAGAAAGCACTGGTTCAGGGCTTCAGTTCCAGCTAAGTTGGTGGAGCGAGATAAGAATTGGTTTGTTTTTTCACAGCCGTAGAGCTGAAAGATTACATCACTTAAACAGCTCCTTAAGTACGTGTTTGACCCTCCCTCTCATGCAATCTGAGTTTCTGCTGAAGACCACGTTGCAAGAAAACAGATCAGGATCTGTGAAGGCAAGATGACTGTTTTGGAACAGCTGATAATGATAATGTAAATGTACACACCAGATTAGCTTTATATGTTGCAGGTATCTTTAGTAATGGCTTTATCATACTGGACTTTAGGGGAGCAGATAAATAAGAAAACAAAACTCCTGTTATTCCGCTGCTGATTTCCATCATTTTTTCAATTTATGATTGAAACAGAAGGGAGTTTTTCTAATATAAGCTGTGAGAAAAACAAATTTCTTCTCATTGTTCTCTGGATCACGTTTATTCGTTAAACATAAAAGGATAAAAATGTTCAGTAGGTTAACATTAACGATGGGTGCTGATGTGTCAAAATCCATTATAAGGATATAATCATACTGTATTGATGATGATGGCGTTGAGTTTCATTTCCTCCACCTGCAGCAGGATCTCTCTTTTTCCTAGAGACAAAATCTCCTTAAAGAAAAGTTTGAAATGTTGCAACAAAAGCACTCAACTTTCCTTCCAATCATAGTGTTTTGGCTATTTTTGCGGATGAAGGGAGTGGATAAAGTAGCACATGTGTGTGGTGGGGGAAAATGCAAAGAAAAACATTATTTTGAATTGTAGAAATGTACTTAATATCAACTTAGTTAGCAATTTGACAGTCTCACATCTGCTCCTGTTCCTCGTGTTGGACAGCATTTTATTGGTAGCATTTTATGAGCCGATAACGGTGACTAGAAACAGAAATCCGTAATCTGCCCTCCGCGGTTCCAGGAGGAAGACCAACGACACCATGACGGTCCACACGGCCTGCCACAATCCGGCTCTGCCGCTGGAGGGCGTGGACCCCGACCTGCTGCTGAACTTCACCTCCAGGGAGTGTCACATGGTCCCGCAGCCTTCGGAGGAGGGAGCCATGATGGTCTGCGGCTGCCAGGGCGACCACGAATGCAACGACAAGCTCATCTTTGACAAGGGAGCAAATGGTGAGCCAAATAACGGACGGAGGAGGGAGTTTGGGCTTAAGGTAGCTCTTATCGCTTAGTTATAGGATACAATACAATCCATATTTATTGTGCAGGCATAAGGTCTTAGCTGTTACACCGGTAGCCAAGTAATCAACATTTCGTCGTCAAATTCACTTCGTGTTTTTTGTGCAATGACAATAAAGGAAGTCTAAGTGTAAGTCTAAGTCTAAGTTGATGGCTGAAAGGAGTCAGAGAAGGAGCCAATGAGGACGGTGACTGTTCTGTTAAATGTTCTGCTCAATGAATGGATGAATGAAGGGATAACCACATGGTATAGATCAGTGTTTTTCAACCTTTTTTGCGCCAAGGTACAGTTTTTCATTGAAAAAATCTCGAGGCACACCACCATCCAAAAATGTCAAACAAATCTGTAGCCGCCTATAGTAACACTGTAGTTATTCTTATTTTATTCTTATCTTATCTTAAGTGTCTTGAATAGGAATCACATAAACACATTAAATGTATTTTTATCATATTTTATCAAATTGCACTTTGATGCCCACTTCAGTATGCAAAATTATATACAAAATCTAGTCATAAGGAATTATTACATGATTACGCCACCAGTCACTAGAACAGCACAGACACTCAAAAATGGAAAATTATTTGCGGAAAATTATCAAAAACATTTTTTTTAGACCAATTAGGTGAAATAGGATTATTTTCTACGGCACACCTGACCATCACTCGCGGCACACTAGTGTGCCGAGGCACAGTGGTTGAAAAACACTGGTATAGATCAATACCAGGTGACATGAAATAGGACAGTTGATTTGATGTGTGCAAAAAAAAAAACAAGCAACGGATGGACAGATAATTAGTTCCTTTGGTCCCTCCAGGTTTCCTGAAGCTGCAGAGTAAGGATGTGATCCCCGTCGTGGCGGTCAGTTTGGTGCCTCCTGTCCTGGTGGCCATCGTTGCCACGGCAGCCTTCTACTTCTACCGCGTGCGGCGCCCGGACAAACCGGGGCCCCCCGTGCGCCTCAACTGGCCCACCAAGCACAGCCCGGAGCTCTACCAGGCTCTGGAGGCGGCGTGCGGGGGGCAGGGCGTCCAGCGGGAGGGCGAGGGGGGAGGCGGGCGGGACGAGTACCACGCCAAGGCGGCGCCGTTTCCCGACGAGAGGGCCGAACTGCTGCCCATCAAGCTGGAGGCGCTGGTGGGGAAGGGGCGGTTCGCCGAGGTGTGGAAGGCCCACCTGCTCCAGGGCGAGAACGCGGGCGCCGGCAGCTACGAAACGGTGGCGGTGAAGGTCTTCCCCGCCGTGGAGTACGCCTCGTGGAGGAACGAGTGCGCCATCTTCTCCGACCCGACCCTGCAGCACGACAACGTGGTCCAGTTCCTGGCGGCGGAGGAGAGGAGGCCCCCGAGCCACGCCCCGCAAACCTACTGGCTGGTTCTGGCTTACCACGGCCTCGGAAACCTGCAGGACTTCCTCACGGCCAACACGCTGAGCTGGGAGGAACTGGTGCCGATGGCGTGCAGCATTGCCAAAGGAGTGGCCCACCTCCACAGCGACACGACGCTGAGTGGGCTGTCAAAGGTAAAATCAGCCTATGAACACTTCATATACATCATTACGATGGACGAAAATAGAAAATTTTCTATTGTTGAATTAAGGTAAACGCATTCAAATCTATCAATTTTCCTGGAAAATTCAGCTTTAAGTGTCTAAGATATCAAGTTGTTGATCAGTCTTGCAGGAGATAAACCTTGCTTGTGTTTATTTTTAATTATTTATTCAATTTTAATTAATTTTCGCCTGCAGAAGTGAACGTTGCTTTAATGTTGATGTGCTTTAATGGGCATACATAAGCGGTAAATGCATTTTGACCCGGACCTGCTTGTACCATAGGTGCCAGTTGCTCATCGGGACCTAAAGAGCAGTAACATTGTGGTGAAGAACAGGAAGGAGTGTGCGCTGTGTGACTTTGGTCTGGCGTTGAGGCTGGACCTCTCCCTTACTGTCGACGACTACGCCAACAGTGGACAGGTGAATCACGCGGAGCTGGTTAAATACACAAACGACCCAAATAATTTCAACTAATATGCCGTTGCTTCTTCAAATGAAGCTAAACCGGGGATGCTCCATCCCTGTTTTTCAGTTTTCTGGTCTTGGACCTGGCCCAATAGAAGGCTTTGAGGCATTTTCGCCTATAAAAGTATCCCTTTAGTTTACATTACAGATAGTTCTTTTCAAGCTGAGAGGTTTTCTACTCCATCATGGGAACAAAAGACCTACATCTTGTATTCTGGTTGGTTGGACTCCGCTTTATTTTCCTGTCCAGGTGGGAACAGCTCGCTACATGGCTCCTGAGGTACTGGAATCCCGGGTGAACCTGGAGGACCTGGAGGCCTTTAAGCAGATGGATGTTTACTCCATGGCTCTGGTCCTGTGGGAGATGGCCTCCCGCTGCGACGCCATCGGGGGTGAGGAGTTTTATTTTTGGACGAGCTATGAGTTGGACTTGATTAAACAGATTTGCTGCCATTGGAGTTTACTCTGTGCTAAAAATGATCAAACAAGTGAGGCATGTGTTCATCTGCGTGTGCCGGTGTAGAGGTGAAGGGCTACGAACCGGCGTTTGGGTCCAAGGTGTGTGAGCAGCCCTGTGTGGACAGCATGAGGGACCTGGTGCTGAGGGACCGCGGACGGCCGGACATCCCCACGACGTGGACGCAGCACCAGGTCAGATTTAGCCCAAAGGAAAAACACGGATACACTGAAAATGAAAATCTTCTCTTTTTAGATAGAAAAATCGACTTTTAGTTACCTTTTGGTTCTGTGACAGAAAAGGAGCAGCTTGTCACTGGGCCTGTCCATTCTTAGGTTACACACAATTATTTTAACTCTCCTTTTAACTGTCCACAGGGCCCTGTGTGGACCCACTGGGGTCTAAATGAGAGTGTCCCTCTGTCCCACAGGGTATGAACATCTTCTGCTCCACCGTCACCGAGTGCTGGGACCACGACCCCGAGGCCAGACTGACGGCTCACTGCGTGGTGGAGCGCTTCACCGCCCTGCAGCAGGACGAAGAGGAGGAGGAGGAGGAGGAGGAGGAGGAGGAGGTGGGGCGGCAGGAGTAAAGAAAATCAAAGAACCTAAATTCAAAGGAAAACTCTCGGGCTCCGCCAAACTACGAGCATGTTCACTCCACGTGCTTCACTTCCGTCTGGCTCTGAAGCTCCTCGTCCCTCCTGAAGCTGTCCACACGGTCCGAGTGACCTCTTGTTTTCCCACCAGCAGCGCTGACACAGAGGAGCAGGACCGATAAGTGACTCAAAGCAGCCAAACCGTCAATTGCGGTTGCAGTAAAAAAATCTATATATCCTGTGTCTGCATATGAAGTTTACCATTTTGGATACAGAAAATGGCCCCATGTTTGTCCAGAGGGGGAATACCAGATGACCGGTCGTTTCGCGAGGGCTCAGTCTGGGAGGAGGTGAAGTGTAGATGTAGGCCTCAAAGGACAGGAAATACCCAGATAAAAGAGGGCTTGAAACCAATTATCGGGAGGGCTCCAAAGAGAACAGGACTGGTTTTCCCCTGACCTTCTGACCCTCCGGACATCGGAGATGCTGAGAAGTCATGCGAGTTGGGCTGTTATGTCAGCCGTCATGGCAGGAGGATTTCTCGGATGCTCAAATTCGAGAGTGTTAGAGAGTGACGAGTCGGCAGTTCTAGCTCCCGTTTACCATTAACTCATTGGCTGCCAAAGACGTCTATAGACGTCTTTTATGTTTTTCAACGAGAGTGGCTTGGGGGACGATCTGCTAAAGCTTGTCCGTAAATATCAGGCTTCTAGACAGAGTATGTACTAACAAATTTACCCTCTAGGTGGCAGTGCCACTTTTGATGGGAGATGAACATAGACTGTAGGCAAATAAGAAAAACGTAATGGTTCAGGTGAGACACAAGTCGAAGAAGAACGGAATAAGGTAGAAACAATTTTTTTTCCTGATGAAAGAAGAGAGTCTACTCTTTCTTTTGGTGTGTTCGGTGTTTACATAGTCATAGCACAAACTATTCTGTGGCTCTTGATAAATCAGTCAAAATGCTCAAAAACTCTGGCAGTATGGGACTCTCTGTTCTGAAAATGGCTGGCAGTCAATGAGTTAATGAACGGCCTTTTAGTGCCTCACAGGCCCAAACGGTCGGAGTTCTCCTCTGACAGAGGTTGGTTTCACTCAGCCACCTGCTAATTTCTCTTACCTGTGAAAGCGCAGAGGCCTTTCTGAAGGATTTGCCAAATGTTTCTGTAAAACCATCTGAATCGCCGTGTTTGAAAGAATAGGAAATAACTATGAGAATTAGAAACAAATTCCGTGCCTGTTTGACTTAGTTTAAAGTAGCCCGTGTGTTTTGTGTGTGCTTTGGCCGTATGTATTCATTTATGACGCCTCTTGGAAAACTTCTGCTGACACACTCCTGATGATGAACGTGAGGAAGAAGTGGACGGACCAGGATGTGACTTTGCTGACTTTCCTCCGCTGTTGCCTTTGGAGTGTCGCCAATGCAGAAAAAAGCAGCTGCTGTTTAAACGAGCCCCAAGCTGGCATGAATATCTGAAGTGAATTTCACTTCACACGTCTGTGGTAAAATCTGCTAAAACAGAAGCCTGAAACCCACCCGAGCCAACATTTGGCTGGATTCAGAACGTAAAGCTAAATAAATGAAGGCTCGGGGACAGGTGCAGGAGACAAGAAAAAGACAACGTGCTTATCAAGACACTAAACGATCACTCATCAGAATTTCCCGGACTTTTTAGCTGATTCTTGTAGAAGACATAAAATCAACCAGTGGCTGACTTTATACCGGGAATGAAGCACTCACAGTTGAGAAACGGTCACAGATCTGCTGGCAGACATGCACATAAGCACAGTTGGCTGTGTTTAAAAAAAAAAGTCTTATGTTGGAGCAGGTCTCCATTTTTCTTTTCAATCATTTTATCATTTCTATAACCATCATGTATGAATAAACCAGAGAACAAGCACCACACAGACCTGTGGGTGGTTTTCTCAGTTTGTCTCAAAATCATTCTCAGAAACGCATTCATCTGTGGTCATTTTCAATGACAATTTTTCACTTATTAAGATTAGAAATGTAAACCAAGGGAAGTAAATGAACACTGAAAGCACCCAGTGACCAAAAAAATGAAGAAAAAAAACATAAATGATTGAAAAACGATATCTTGTTTGACGATAAAATGTTTGCACATGATAGGGCTCATGAATTGGTTGATTTATTCCCACCACGTTTGAGCAGATTTTTCTTCGTATTTCAAAAACCTACCAGAAACGTAGCATGAAATTAGTTGTAAATTAGTTTCAAATGAGCCTTTAAGTGTGGCCGATGCAGTATTGGTTCTTCTAAGTATGAAAGTGTCTCTTTCTGAGTAAAAATGGCCTCTGACATACTTTATTCCCATGATTTTCTTTAGGAATAATCAAAGTCAGCATCAGAAAGGACAAAAATGAAAGAGGAGCTGAAAACCACCGGGACTTTACAACAATGTCTATTTAAGTTTTGGGTTGGGACGTGGGCTTAGAGGCGTTTTAATTTGCCTGAGGTTTGCAGACATGACTTACTTTCTCTTAAGGGTCGAAAAAATGTCAGGGACCACAACACAGACTAAACTGAGGAGAGACGCCCAGTTATTATAATGAAAGAGACCATTTCTGAGCAAATATGCCCAACCATGTCGCTGGATTTTCAGGGAATCTTCCAAGGAGATTAGCTGTAACATCACGACCTCCTTCCCAATACTGAGAAAGGGCTAATGCTGCCAAAAACAGCTCTGATCCGTCAGGGTGTGGACAAAAAAAAACACGTCCCTGCGAGTCATGAATGGGAATGGCTACAATAGACACTGTAGAGGGGTCTTTCCCACAGATGCCTTTAGATTGATGTATATGGGGTTTAGAGGCCAACTGTTACACGAGTCCCATGGCAGATTTAACTGCTTTGGAAATAACCCAAGGTAGGTACCAAATATAAGAACAGCATCCATGTAAATATTTCTGAAACAGAGCATTGCAGTATTCCTAATTTTCCATCCTGGGATTTTAACCTCATGGTTGATGGTATAAATGGAAGTGAACTGCTTTTCCAGAAAAAAAAAATCATCTGTAAACCAGTTATTTATACATTTCTCATTAAAAATATCAACCTTTGAAAACAGGCAATAGAAACAGTGTAAAATGCTCATTTGAGGAGATCAGTTTGCAGGAAATAACTTTACTGTCTTTTCTCCATCACAATCATAATAAGATGCATTTTTATGAGCTCCTATGTGCAACAGAGGCCATAGAAAATCGCATTTCCCTGAATGTTTGAGATTTTTGGCACAATCACTCTGATTTGCAGCTATTAGAAATCTTTTAACAAAAAGAACAAAACAACTATGAACACCTATCTCCACTAGCCTGGCACTGGCAGAGTAAGAGCCTCCCAGCTCATGCAAGAAGGAAATGAAAGCCACTGACAAGGATTTTTTGTAGCACTAAAGGCCTGGAAACTTATTCTGTGCTTGAATATCACCAACTGAAGTACCGCCAGGCGTTATTTGAAGAGTCCTTGCAGACAATAATGGAACCGCACAGGCCTGCTTTTCATTAGTCACTTACAGTGATCAGAGATTGTCTGTTTGGTCGGAGCCTCCAAAACTAATCGCATTTAACTCGTCTGTCTGAAGTTCAGCAGTCTAGATTTAGTGTCTCTATCCCAGGGCGTGGGAACCAGTGAACCAAGTGAAAAACACCGCAAAGGCTTTTCAAGAAAAGGCAACTAGAGCGACCTCACTTCCCCTCTTTGTATACTCTGAACCGGGGTTTTCTGGTTTCATAATGCATCTCCAAACAGAAACATTCATGCAACAAGAGGGATCAGGAACTATTCTGTGTGTTACATAGTTTCCTTAAGTCAGCTTTCAACTCCATCCTAAACGCAAAAGGGTTTTCTTGCAAATTTAGCGCCATCCGGTGGTCAAATGCATCATTCGCAGGAGATTTTCCTAGTTCGATAGATTTTCCATCGGTGAGCGTCTCATCTTGCTAAAAGACGATCTTTGATATCCTGACGAAAACATTTCCGTCTCAGGGGTTCATCCTGTTTATAGACGATCTTCGGAGCGGCGGCCTCCGGTCAGCTGACACCGACCGACCAACCAGGAGCGGCCGCCGCTGTCAGGCGTCCGTTCAGCCTCTTATCGGCCGGGCGCCGCCGCCTCCACCGCCGAGCCTCGCTCCAGACGCCCCAAACCTCACCGCCGGTCGTTTTCCGGAGGATGATAATATGTGGTAATTCACCCGGAGAGCGATGAATGCGACGAGCGCCGAGGGGACCCGACCGAGACCGGCGGTGGTTTTGTCGACCGCGGGCTGCGGAGCCCCGCGTCCCGGTCAAACCGGAGGATGGAGCCGAGGCTGAGCGGGGATGGCGCGCCGTCCGTTTCCCGGTTCCTCCTCGGCCCCGGCCCCGTCCTCGTCCTCGTCCTGTCCCTACTGGCCGCGGTAGCGAGCGGCCACGGGTCCTGCCAGCACCGAGTCCCGGGTCCCGGCGAGGTGAGCCCCGGCTGCCCCCCCCCCCCCCCCCCCCCCCCCACCGGTGATCCGATAATCTCACCGTAAAGCACCGCTAAGCTAGCGAGCCAACCGCGGGGTTTTTGGCTATGTTACGGGCTTACGTTTGTTTGTAACTTATCTAAACACGGTTGAAAAATGTTTATCGAAAATTGGGACTAAAACGAACCGGACTTCTTTTAATGTTAAGGCGTTTACAGTGTTTATAGCTAGCAAACGCGAAGCTAGCTGTCACTGTGTCAGCCTCCTTTAGGTCAGTTTCCATTTAGAAAACGCTGATTTCACCCCTGAAAAGCCAAAAAGCTTATGTCTTTTTAGGCTCCATTCAGAACAACAGGCAGATTTATCCAAAATATTTAGTGTCAACTGTTGGTTTTAGATATAATCTATCTGCAAATCTACAAAAGACAGTGGTTATTACACTCTATACATCCCACATATGCTGGAAAGATTTGAAAAAAGACACACAAAATCAACATTTTGGCTTAAGGAAGTTGAGATGAAATCAAAACTAATATAATATAAAATAACAAACTACAAATACAAAATTTCCAGGGGTCTATCTTTAAAAATAAGTTTAACTTTTACCACAAACTGATTACACCATCCCATGTTTTGCTTTGACCTTGTTCTGGGTCCCTGTTCCAGATTTGATCCATATTGTTCGGACCTGCTCTTGTGTCTTCTGTTTTCCTGCTCAAATCTGTGTTGTGTTATTGTTTCTGTGGGGCTCCTGTAGGTGGTTCATCACGTGTACTTGAGGCCTGAGCGCCTGACGAAGAGAAGCTCCCCCGAAGACCTGCAGCTAAAGATCAAAATCATCTATGACAGCAGTGTTGATCAGTAAGTTCTGCATCAAGCGCGTGGACCACACGGTGATTTGAGCTCTGAAAAGTTGACTCTAAAGCTGCTGACTGTGATTTGATCCAGCGGTTTGTCAAACAGAGCCGCTTCTCTGTTTAAAAGCTCATGGCCTCTGCTTTTCGACAGGCTTTCTGCAGACAAGAGGAGGCTGGTGAAGGTGAGGAGATACTTGGAAACATCACACGCTTGTTCTTTATTATTATTATTAGTATTTAAGGTCTGTTTTTTTTGTAGTTATGACAGACTGTTTCCTGAATTGATAAATTCCAGCATCTGGCTGTGGCAACAGTGGGGTTTTCAGCTGTTATTGTGTGCGTCCCTCCTCAGGATAAGCTGTTTCCTCAGGCCATCGACTACCTGCAGAGGGCTTTCAGCGTGAGGCGGCGGGTGGGACCAGTCCTGCTCAGCAGGTGCCCCAGCCGCCTTGTTTTACTGAAAAGATTTTAAGGGTTTTCATAAAATGAGACAATAAATTTAGCACTTTCCGAGTTTCAAAACGAATATCCTCCTCACACAAGAATGTAGAAGATGCATCAGGTGTCAGAGGTGAAACTTTTGACTATATCAATAACACAAAAACTTCTAAAAGTCTGGTGACGACCCATCTGAGGAGGGTTTGAACAGGGCCGCGTTACCACTGTTCAGGATCATCTTTGCAGTCGCTTTGGATAAAAGCGTCTGCCAAATGCATAAACATAAACATAAACCTTTGCAGTAAAATGTCTGCAAAAGAAAAAAAATCAAACTTTTCCTGGTTATCATTTTGTCAAAGCGCACATTAAATGCAACAAAAAAAGCTGGCGAGTGTGTTCAGAATGATGTTTCAAACTTTTCTAAACTGAGTAAAGTAATTATGAGTGTTTAGCAAAGTCCAGAAGTGCTTAGTCTTTACAGGCTTTTTTCTTCTGTGTGTGTGTGTGTTTGTGTGTTTGAGTGAGTTGAAGGAAAAGCGGCCATCTCAAAGTAGTTCCAGTCTTGAATGTTTCAGTGTGACTGAAATCATGCAGGTTGCAGCTAAAAGTGCTTGTTTGTTTTTAAATGTCTGCTTGTTATCCTCGCCCCGCCAGACAATGTGCAACCAACCAGTACATGAGAAAGAGAGATGACCCTCATCGGTACTGCCAGGATTCCTGTGCCAACCTCACCAGGTGTGGCCCAGTCGTTGTTCCACAGCACCACCTGCAGGTGAGGAAAAGCCCCCCCCAAAAAGCGAAGACACGATCGAAACTCAGCTTGATCAGACACACAAACCGTCACTGCAAAACATCCCACTCTGGAGGCGGCCTCTTGCCCGAGAGCTTTTTGTTCCGAAAAAGAAACAGAGAATCAAAACACTGGCAGTCCTTTAAAAAGAAAGCACCTGAGAGGCTCCGTTTCTGTCCTCAGTCGATGGTCCCCGTTTAAATAACTGACATTCAACGCATTCAACATTCATCTGTCACAAAGGAGACCTTTGTCCGCTTTGACTGAAGACTTTTCCACGCCGGGGCAAAAAATACATAAAGACAAAACAGAGCCCACACTGTTGTTTTTTTTTCCTTCAGCAATGCAAGGTTTGCAGCGAGTCCGGGAAGTCATGCGGCCCCGCCGGGCCCCCGGACGGCCCCGGGGTGGAGGGCTCCGACTTCGTGCTCTACGTCAGCGGCGTCACCACGGAGCGCTGCGGCCAGGAGAACATCGTGGCCTACGCCGCCTACTGCCAGCTGGAGGCCGAGCTGGACAGGTGAGCCCACGGAATTCCCACTGGTTTCCACCACCGTTTCCTAGGCATACAGTTGAGATCCACCCCGGCGAGCTAACAGTGTGTGTGTCCATGTGTGTGTCCGTGTGTGTGTTTTTTTTAGGCCTATAGCAGGTTACGCCAACCTGTGTCCAGTCATGATCTCCTCCCAGCCTCAGGAGTTCGAAGGCATGCTCTCCACCGTCAAACATGAGATCATCCACGCTCTGGTGAAAACACTCTCCTTTTTTTCTCCACATTTATTTATGTATTTTTATCATGTTTTATCGCCTGTGCGTGCTTCCCGCTCGGGGATGCCGCGGGTCATCCTCCTCCCCCCCTCTGTCAGTCACACGGCTTCACTGGGTTGCTACAAACCAAACACAGCCTTTAGGTTTCTTCTTTTCACAGCTCCAGAAACGGCTAGACAACAAACACATTATTTTCTGAATGTTCATTCAGCTTTAAAAAAAAAAAAATTGTATCACAAAGGAGACATACAAACCAAAACTATTTTATTTAGTCAAGTTTTTTACCATTCTGGCTTTTTAAAAACATGCAATGGTTCTTTTTTTTCATATGAAGTGGAAGAAAAACAGATGGGGTCTCAGATTCATCCCTGAATAACTCCTCCAATCACAAGCGCTGTGACTCAGTTTTTTCCTCCATGTTTTATGTTTTGCTCTTCGGGATATTTGGAGGCATATTTAAGTTTGCTGAAGTTTAGCTTTGGCATCTTTCCTGGTTGGCCATTGTGAGTCCCTTTTTTAAAAAACGTTTTAATTCACCGTCAACAGAAAACCCCCTCCAGTGGAGGACAGATTTATGGGTGTTTTTCAACCGCGTTTAGAACAGAACGGCTTTGTTGGCGTGCTGACCTCTTCTCTTTTGTCCTTCAGGGCTTTTCGGCCGGTCTCTTCGCCTTCTACCACGACGATGAGGGCAAACCCCTGACGCCCCGTTTCGCCAGCGGCCTGCCCCCCTTCAACGAGAGGTAACCGCCGTCCGCTGGGACGCAGGGCGCCGGCCCTGAACAGGTCACTTCCTGTTTGTTGAGGGCCGGCCGCTCTGACCTGCGGCCCTTCTGCTCTGTGGCAGCCTGGGCCTGTACCAGTGGAGCGAGGCGGTGATCAGGAGGGTCAGCAGGCTGTGGGACATCAGGGGCGGAGTGATGGTCCGACACCACGTGCACGTGCTTGTCACCCCTCGCGTTGTGGTAATCTGAAATCGCCTCAAATTCAGTACAAAACTGGTAATGAAGACTGATGATTCATTCATTTTTCAAAGGGAAAACAGCTGTTAACAGATATTGATTTTTTTTATTTTCCAGTTTTGTGTCTTTTTCATCTCTGTAGTCACTTTGAATCTCTTTGTGGTAGGGTTGTCAAAAGTATCGATACTTAAAAAAGTATCGATACTAAAATGTTGTATCCGGATACGATACTCATTTTCAAAAGTATCGATACCACCGCGCGAGCCCGCGCGAGTCCGCGCAAGCGCGCGCGCGACGCTGACCTGCCGTCGCTGCGCCCCTTCTCTCAGATTTATTTATTTATTTACGTTGTTTATGATCATTAACGTGACGTTAGCCTTGAACTGCTAGCTGCGGCTAATGGCTAATAGTAACATTCTACCATTAATCAAGTACATATCCGTCTCAGCCCACATCCAAATCGGCCATTTTGATTACGTCACCAAAAGGAAAATCCCAGGCAAGAAAATAGTAATGCCTCATGGCAATATAGACATTAATTTAAAAATAGTGAAATTAATCTTTCAAACAATTAAACTCTATCCATAATACTATGTTAAAATAGTGGATGTTAAATAGGTTTGTACAATAAGTCCAAACAAGTTTAGGATTAGGGTCAGGATTAGGGTAATTAATTCGGGCCACCAGCCACGATAACATCAGTAACAGGTCAGTTTGAAATGAAAGACACTAACCTGTCAAAATTCAGTTAAATTTTGGGGTCTTTGTTTTTATCCTTGTGGTATCGAAAATGGTATTGAGTATCGAGTATTTTTTTGAGTATCGGTATCGAGTTGAAAATTTTAGTATCGTGACAACCCTACTTTGTGGCCATTTCATTTCTTCTGGATGCCGTTTGTTGTCATTCCCTAACTCTCTGAGACAGTTTTTTAGTCTCATTGTGGTCATTTTCATGTGTTTCCATGGATGCTTTCAACTAGGTTGTTAAAAACAATCTCAATAACAGTGAGGCTTCAGGGTGTCCTGTGGGCTGAAGTAGGCCTACAGGTGAAGTTAATAGAAATCCAGTGAATCCTCGGTGTGATTTACAGTAGAAAATCTGACGGGAATGTGATAAAATCACCTTAATACAAGGTGAAAGTGAGTTGTTCAGTTGTGTTAAAGGCCGTGTGGAAAAGCGGCTGAGCTGCAGGTGTTCTGTTTGTGTTCCAGGAGGAGGCCCGGAGACATTTTAACTGTCCCATCCTGGAGGGGATGGAGCTGGAGAACCAGGGAGGGACTGGAACTGAGCTCAATCACTGGGAAAAGAGACTTCTGGAGGTCAGTTCAGGAGCCCCCTCTGCTGCCCGTGTGCAGAAAAAGTTAGTTTTTTTTCTTTTTCATCTTCACCGGGTTTTTTTTCCCCTCATCAGAACGAGGCGATGACGGGCTCCCACACCCAGAACCGGGTGTTCTCTCGGCTCACGCTGGCCATCATGGAGGACAGCGGCTGGTACCGGGCCAACTACAGCCTGGCCCAGAGGCTGGACTGGGGCCGCGGCCTCGGCTGCGACTTCGTCATGAAGAGCTGCAAGTTCTGGATGGACAGGCAGAGACAGAGGTCACCCTAAAGAAGCCCTTTTCCTGCTTTTCAGTACCACTTCGATCATCACGATAGTTTATCAATATTTTCACTAGCCAGAAGTTAAAAAGTAAACCATTTAGAATAATCGACTCACATTTAGATAGTTGGACACATTTTTCGTCATTTTTATGCAGGTTGAGTGAATCGTCTGACACCCTTTCAGCTTCTTTAAAGACCGTGTTGTGTGTTGAACTGCAGGCGACACCTGGTGACGCCCTACTGCGACACTGTGCGCGCCTCCCCCCTGCAGCTCACCTGCAGACAGGACCAGCTGGCTGTGGCTGTCTGCAACCTCCAGAAATACTCTCAGGAGCTGCCGCTGGAGTACCAGGTACACAAGAGCGCGGGACGAGGAGCTGTGTCCTGTCGGTCGTCTTAAAGGTTTAAACCGGTTGTCCGGTCTGCCTAGTATGAAGCTGTATTGTGATTAAAACTCTGTGGCACAGCAGTGGGAAGCACATCAAGTTAAACACAACACCTGTGAGTCAGATTCTGCATATGGAAAGTGGACGAAAAAGGGAATAACTTGGAGGGAAGACAATTAAAACATCCCAAACAAAACTCAAAATATGATTTAATCTGAAAACCGCAGATCTTTTCAGATTCTTACATCACGTCTTTTACAGCACTGAGATCAAGAAAGAACTATCACCACGAGGAAATGAGTTTGTAGATTTGTTTACAGGCGCATATAAAACTACCAAGAAAGATTGTTTTTGAGCTATAAAAGATTTTCCGAAAACATGATGGAAACACACTAGAAGCGAAAATTAGAACTGAATAAAATCCTGTAAAAGAAATAAATAAAATAATTTAAAAAAAAGAGATATCAGATGTCCACAAGCTCCAGAAAGTAGGGCGAGTTTGGTGGAAAATTCATTAAAACTTGGGAAAATGGACTGAACATGTAAGAAGGGAAGTTCCTGTGGAGAACTGATGACTCTGACTTCTCCAAAGTGTGTTATTCTAAAGTGTGTTAAAGTGTGTCTAAAGTGTGTTATGCTACAATTCTGTCATGTGTGTATGATCTCTTGTCATTGGTCTGTGTGTTTTTCTCTTTCAGTACTTTGACGGGATCCCCGATGTGACCGACAACCAGCTGTCCTTCTTCGGGGGCGCCGTGGAGATCGCCGACTACTGTCCGTTCAGCCAGGAGTTCAGCTGGCACCTGAGCGGAGAGTACCAGAGAAACTCCTACTGCAGAGTGGCCGAGAACCAGCCGGGTAGGTCTCACACTGCTGCTGATGTAGAGGCAGAGAGAATGGAGGGTCCTTCTTGGACACAGAAGGAGAGAAAGTTGCATTGATCTTGGCCGGTTAAACCCTGAGCCATGGTTCTGCTCGAGGTTTCTACCTGTTAAAAGGAAGTTTTTCCTTGCCTGTGTCGCCTAGTGCTTGCTCATGGTGGGAATTGTTGGGTTTCTGTAATTAACTTCAGAGTAGGGTCTGACCTGCTCTGTTTGGAAAGCGCTGTGAGACAACTGTTGTTGTGATGTGGCGCTATATAAATAAAATTGAATTGAACTGAATTGAATTAAACCTGTGAACGACATCAGGTTTGAGCTCGTTTTGCCGTCTGGATGGGGATGAGTCAGGCTTCTCCTGTGCGTCCTTTAGACTGGTGGAGGAACTACGGGGCGGAGCAGTACGGGCCGGATTCCGTGTGCCTGTACCAGAAGTCAGCCTTCGTGATGGAGCAGTGCACCCGAAAGATGACCTACCCAGACTGGGGCTCCGGATGCTACAAGGTGCCCCGGTTTTCTGCCGGTTCAAATCTTTTTATCCATATGCTAAAAACCTGACGGATATCAGAGCTTCTCAGGAGGACAGTGAATTGTTTCACTGATTGCAATCAGCCGTTTCCTTGGTCTCCGTGCAGGTGCTGTGCTCGGCTCAGGGCCTGACGGTGTTCATTCAGGATCGCTCCTTCCAGTGCACCCGCAAAGGTCAGCTGCTGAGCGTCAGCGTGCGGGTCAACGACTGGGTCTACAACGGCGTCCTGGTCTGCCCCGCCTGCACCGACTTCTGCGACGACTGCCCTCTCCCACACCAGCTCCCGCCCTTCAACGCCTCCCGGAGCAACCCCATCGGTCAGTGTCACTAAGATCCCAACCATATGGAATGATTACAAAGCCTAAGCCTTTTACAGAAGAGATTCCTACTCTATAGCTGTAGAGAGCTATTTTTCTCCAGACAAAGATTTTCTTTGGACAATGGCTCTTTCTTCTTATTTTAAGAGGATTTTTTTCTCCACTTAACACTAATCCATGAGCCAGTGTTCTGTCTAAACAGATCATAATCCATAACTCCACTTGTATAAGTAAACGTGTTTTGTTTTTCTGTTGCAGATCCATGCTCCGGTTCCCCAGGACTGGCCACCACTCTGTGGCTCCTTATGCTCAACCTGCTTCCTCTCGTGGCCGGACTGCTGCTCTGCCACTACAGCTGATAACACCAACGCGCACACAAACAAACTTGTTTTTCTATATTTGAGGGGACTTTGACCTTAATCCTAAACCTTAACTGTCATGCCCAAACCTGCCCCTTGCCCTGAACTTATCCATTTAGACCAAGTTTGACCCTAAGATTTATATTAATTTGAGGAACCAACATTTGGTCCCCACAAAACGTGTCGGACTCCCCCAAGTATAATAGGCTCCGGGTTTTTGGACCTTACAAATGTAGAAAGGCAAGTACACACATACACACTCCACTCTAAGGTAGCTCAACTCTATTCGGTACTGTATTCCTCAGAGGATTTGGCCAGCTCATCTCCCTCCTCCAGCTGTCTTTAGTTTCCATCTGCTGTTTCATAAGCTGAAAAGCTCTATTTTTTTTACTTCTTTTTATTCCGCCGTGCTTCATTCTTAAGGTCAGTTTTTTTTCTCCGTCGTCTTTCTTTTCTGGGGATATTCGCTCTTTTGTTCTTCTTTCGGCATCCTCAGCTGTAACTATATCTCGGTACTGTCCGACATCCCGTTCAGGTGTCGGTGGATGTGTTTACATGCACTTCAGTGACAGAGTTACAGTCAGCTTCCATTTAACTGGGAAACCTCGGTGCTTTTCCACGGTTTGGAATTATGAGGACCTTTTTTTTAGGAATTCTCCTGCATTCACAGGTCCATTCTGATTGTCTTGTTCCGCAAAGCACAGAAGCCCAACATTGTCTTAAGACCACCGTGTATTTGGATGGGTACCGAGTACTAAAACAGGAAAGCATTAGTATGATTAGTGTGAAACAGACTGGAATCACTGCAATGCATGTAAACGTGTCATTTGAGTCTTCTGGAACGGTGCTTGGGTTCATTTTTATTGCATGAGAACTTCGGAATGGGACTGATTCCTCTCAGTGGTGCAGCTCAAGCCTCACTATGGCTCCCGGACTATTTTCACGACGTCGTGGGAATTTTTTTCTCACTTCTACCGACTGCAGACCGGAAATCGTCTATTTTTACCCGAACCCCGTCTTGCATTTTAAATACCAGACTAGACTGTTGATCAGCCAAGCCCTTTTAGTTTTGGCTGCCTGACTTTTCTGAGTAACCGGGAAAAAACTGGGAACAAAAAAAGGGGGTTGTGTGCAAGTGGATGTTCTTTTAGCTTTTTTTTTAAAAACAAACAAGCCATACTTGAATGGTGAAAGGACATATTCCTCTGATTCATCATCGCAAGCATCTGTGCAGTTTGGCGACCTCTAGTGGCAGCTGGAGGCCGCCGTTTAATTTTTCTATGCTCAAAAGATCTTTTATGCAGAAATATTTTGATGTAAATAACATGTGACAGACTAGCAGGCTGAGGTCAGACGTGTGTTATCCAGCCTTCTGATAACACCTGATACCTCATTTGTTTTGGGTAGATTTCCCTTCACTGTAATGAAGTTAGATTGGATGCATTTGTAGCTCTTCTGACGTGGTCTCGGAGGACTGTTGGACCTAGTTTGGAAACTGGTCTAAGCTTTTTTTTTTTTTTCACGTGACACTGTGCACATCAAGGTTGCTGTTAAGTTGCCGAACCAGCTCTGAAAGTTGCTGCAAGAACGCGGATCACACAGTGCAAGGTTCAAAGTTTACTTTGAAAACACAGAGAGCGGCAGTTACTTTCCTTGGGGTAAAGGGTCTTCCAGCGAATCGCCCTCAAAAGGATGTGAGCCACAGTTTCTCTCCAAATATTCTATTCCAAAACCCTTTTGTTCCCCGGCTTTGTCAGTTAGATCAATCTCCATTTTCTTCAGCTACAAGCCCGACATAAACAACCTTTGTATTCTCAGGTGGGAAAATGGACGCACACTTTGCCTTTCAGTGATATTCAGGCCTACAAATCCATCCCTGAATCTTTCTGATCAAGGACAATAAGCTGTTACTTTTTTCCCCAAGTTTCAAGTTTAGGGAGCTAATGCTAAAGCCACCGGATCACAATGCAAATAGTTTTAACTTTTTTTTCCCGTTATGTTCCGAAAACTAACACAGGAAATCTGCAAACTCACCTGCTTGCTTGCAACCTGAATGAAGGGTTCGGGTTAGCCGTGAATTAAAATACAAAGTCCCACCGCGATATATCCAATATCAAAAAGGTTACGCTACTGGTCTGAACCACAGATGGATGGAAGCCGGAGGCAACATGTGCTGATATGAGCTTTAGCAAAAGGGAGTTCAAACTAATGGGAGCTTAACACTTCTAAGCTAAGAAGAAACCACAGAGCTGTCAGTTTGCAGAACGCATCCACTGAGCTCTCAATGACGGGAACCTCTCCTGTGAAGTAGTTATAGCTTCTTTCAAACAAATGCATGCTGGTTTTTGAGTGCTCGAAGCGTCATTTTCTTTGAAAAGGGAAGGTACTTTACTCAGTGTGCAGGGAGATGATACTAGATTGTGGTTCCCATTCTTCGTTTGGTTGTCGTTTTCATCATGAACACCAGGCACCAGTTCTGCCATGTAACATTCAGAAATATTCAGCTGTAGGCCGCGAAACACATTCAAATAAATGCCCTGAAATTTGGTTTTAGACATTATGGAACAGCGCTTTCCATCGTTTCAGAACATCTTCAGGACCAGTGATGGTAATCCCACCGTGATGACAAACAGGAACCGCCAACGGTTCAGTCACCGGGCACTTAAATGGCACCCCTTGGCAGATATATTCAGATTATATAGGGAAATAAGATGCTTCCAGATCCTGGCTGTTCTGAGAGCCGTAGTTTTGTGTCGCCATGTTTCCATTAGATGTGTAGATGGTCCCGATAAGCTAGAATTGCTCTGGAGGAACATCTCTGAGTTGTGTCCTTATCTCAGACCACCGAGGCTTCTCTGACTTTAAGTGTCACAGCTGGAGGTTTAACATCTGGGACACAGACAGATGTTGGGCCCGGGATCTAAACGGGGAGACGGCACCGACCGGAAAGCATCGGTGCTCATTATCAAAAAGAAAACACTCACAGACTGTTGAACATTGAACTAACAGCAACTTTGGTCATTACTGTAATGAAGGAAACTTTTTTAGGGGTTTAGAGTTCTTTATATTTGCTGAATTTATGCTGAGTCATGATAGTTTGATTGCAGCTGAGTGTAAGAAAGAGCGCTGCGTTTGTGTTATTGTTCAGTTTAGCTGCTAAATGACCACAGCGGAATTTCGGACGGGAGGAAACGAGGGCCAAAAATCCTGCCTGTGACGTTTGACAACTGTGCAAATGTTTTTATTTATTTTTTTCTTCTTTTAAAACTGCGGCTGATGTTGAAGTTCAGTGCAAATCGTTCCTGTTTATCTTCCGTGTGATGGTCGTCTCATCGTTGTCAGTGGTGGCGAAAATAATGTTTGTGGAGCTAAATAAGTGCAGTGGGGATTACCTTAGGCATGTTTTGTTTGTTTTTTCTTTTTGAGGCTGCACTGAAGTTACAATCTGAAAATTTTCTTTAAAAAATAATCCGTCTGAGACACCCCTCAGTGAAAGGTTTTAAATGAAATGCATCTCTTCAAACGGATGTAAAGGTCTGCACAGGCCTGCTAAACCTGGTTAAAAACGAGCAAAAAATGTAAAGTAAAAACAAACACCAGGGAACAGGGAAAGAAAAAAGATGGAAGAAACCAAACCCGAAATGACAGAATGCTTCTTTAAAATCAGAAAAATACACAAGCACAGAGGCAAAAATAAAAGCAGAGGAAGTTGTTCTTCAGTGCAGCTTATTGGACTGAATAGTTGTTATTTTTTTTCTTTTTTCCAAATGAATCTATTGAATCTTTGCAGCTTGATGTTTGCACTAAACCAAAAGAACCGGCCTTAATGTCAGAGGGCTTTCCCTCAGCGTGCGATGCAGGAAGTACATGCAGTAAGACAATGCAGAGGTTTTTTGTGTGACGTTTTTGTTTGTCAGGTCGTTTTCTGTCAAATGTCTTTGTTTAATATTCTGTCAACAAAAAGCCGGGCCGGTCTGAGTGGCGGAGGTGTTACGACCCACACGGGACAGAGCTTTTTCCACTCTAAAATGTTGGCGATTCAATTCTGAATAAAGTTTTTGTTGACTTAATGACTGTGTAGCACTGATCACGAGCGGGGAAGCAAACACATTCAGGATTTTGTTTGTAATAAACTGTTGGAAGTCTTTATTGGGGATATTTCCTTGGTGGAGTGGACATCTCCCACAAAGAGAACTGTGTGCAGTGGCAGCTGATCCAAAGAGAGGAACCCTCAGCTCACCTTTCTAGGTTTTATTTGATAGAAAAAGGGCTGCTTTTAGAAAAAAATCAAGACTTGTCTTGAAATAAACGCTGTCTCTATCCCTGAGCGAGTCGGTATGTCTCATTCATACTAATAATAATGGTCATTTAGTATTTAATATGGAGCCATTCTGCTTATGCTTCAGGTCATTTCGAGCCTGAATCAGTTGCTTACAGCACAGCGGCCATTTTGGTGAATTTTTTAACATAAACAGCTAAACCACAAAAACAAGATAAAAAAATTGAGCAATTTCAGTTTTTCTCTTTCTAAGAAAAACTAAACGCTTCCTGCTGAATGCTCAGAAATGTTTGCTGGACATGGTAAAAGGAGCAGTTATGGGAAGGAACTTTTTTTTGGAGGGGAGAATGTTTTTTTTTTACTGATGTGCAATTATCTGTCAATTTTGGATTCATTTCTTATCTGAATCTGAAAGATTGTGCTTCAATTTACTTCATGTTTGGGCTGAGATTAAAGCTAACAGAAACAAATTGCACATGGAAAAATGATTTAAAAGAAACAAATAAGCAAGTTAAAATACAAAGAGATTTATGAATATGAACATTTGTTTTCTTTTCCTGTAATTTAGCCGGCTCCCTTTTGATGCTCATTTGGTCTTTGACTACACAAGCAAACACATGACAAACGTACCCATTATTTCTTCATGCCTTTTTGTGGCCAGCACTGAGAAGTTATCAACTTTCTTGGATTCTAAATGCTTTTTAGACTTTCTTCATTTTATGTGCATAGACATATAAAAATATGGTATGGACATAATTAAGAAAGATAAACACATTTTTAGTTAAGAATGGTTTCAAATCCTCCTAAATGCTTCTCTACTACCTTAAACATATTCCTTTTTTTTTCCTAGGCACAAAATCTTTGGCAAGGCTTTGCATTTCAGTGCATACGAGTCCAGCAAACTCTCAGGATTTGGAGGTCTTTCGCTGTGAGCTTTGCTCTGGTTCTGGGAACCGGACAGTCTGGTTCTGGGAACCTCCCAAACAGGGAGTCCCATGTCCTGTTTTTATTGCTCAGCCGTGAATTTCTACAGCTGCATTCTCCCTGAATTCGGCTGCTGCTCGTCTACTAACGGTTTCAGGCAAGGCTGAAATTCCCCGAGAGGAGAAAAAAAGCCACCGTCCACCAGCCGGACGTCCGTCTTTTGTGGCCCGACTGGTGTTAGGACAGCCCGGGCGGTCAGTCCATCCACAGGAAGCCCACCTGGGTGCCGAAGTTGATTCCATCTCTGACGTGGGAGAAGAAGTCTTCGGGGTGGCACGAGGTACAGGGCGTCACGCAGGGCCGGTCGGTCACCGTGTGGTCATGGATGTGCTCCGGCCGGACGCCGCCGTTCTGCAGGAGAATTCTGAAAATTCCACATTAAACTCAGTTAGTACTCCCGGTCTATGGCGTTAATTTTTATCTAGTAAATATCGAGGTTATTGTCCATCTGAGGTGGTGCTTGACCGGTCCGTTACGGGATCCGTGTGGTCAGGATCGTACCTGTTGGCCAGCCGGATGTCCACGTGCGGTCTGGCCACCTCGGGATCGGGAACGCAGTCCGGATGAATGGAGGAGAAGTCCCGCGCCTGCTCTCTGTCCAGCCTGAAGCAGCACGGCCCCACGGCCGGCCCCACCGCCACCACCACGTCCTCCGCCCGACAGCCAAAATCTGCCACCATCGCGGCGACGGTCGCCATGGCAACCCCCATCAGGGTCCCCCTCCAACCTGCAAGAATAGCGTTTTCTGTCAAACCAGTTCCTCATCCCAAATTATTTTTGTTACTGGCTCCATAAATAAAACAGCCTGCATATACATATATACGTGTCTGTACATATATACACACATATATATATATATATGTACACACAAAATTACTCATATGATATAGATAGATATACATGAATATAAAAAACTATATGTATATATATAGGTCAAAATAAATGGTGGATAATGTCAATAAAGATTAAGTTTGACTCTCAGAGAGAGGCGTTGTGCAGATTGATGACCACAGGCAGGAATGATGACCGAGTAGAGGGGGATGGGGAGTCTGGGATCCACAGCATGTGGTCACACAGACCTCCGTCTGACCGCACTGACCTGCGTGTGCGGCCCCGATGACCTTCTTGACCGGATCGGCAAACAAGATGGGCATGCAGTCGGCTCCCGGGGCGGCCAGAACCAGCCCTCTCCGGTCGGTCACCATGGCGTCGTAGCTCTCCGGCTCGGCTTTCCCCAAAACCCAGACGTCACTGGCGTGGTTCACCTGCCAGAAAGGCGAGTTTAGAGCCAATCAAAGCATCCCTTCATCTAACAGCACTAAAGAGAAAGCCCTTTCTTTAAGGAGTCTTCAGGAAGAGCTCTACAGGATTCTTGAAGGACTTCCCAAAGCTCTTTTTTGGATGTGGGCGGCCTTTTGTTCCGTTTTCTGTCAGATGATCCCAATAATATTAAAATTCAGATGCATCTCAAGTCCTCTTGCAAGTTTTAAAATCAATGAATGGAGATATGTATCTATGTACAGTATGTAGAGATAGTGTTGTTCAATTATCTATTTGTTTGAAGGGATCACTTCTTCTTTTGTCAATTTACTCGAATAAGGATCCTGTTTTATTCTTTGATGATTTTAACACCTAAATTAGACCCTCTGAAAAACGACCCGGCACTAGGACTGGACTGAGAATGAGGAACACAGCAGTTAATGTGCAAATGAAAACTCTTGACTATCAGAAATGCTGCTGAACACCCCTTTAAGAATGAAAAAGGTTTCTTAAGAGACATATCAAAACCTTTGCACAGTGCGGCGTGAAGAGATATTTGACTTTGTTAGATTCTAATGAACCCGTTTGTCCCATTTTGCACAGGATCATTCGTACTTGTAGTCCAGTACCTTGACCAGACGTAGAGGGAGGGGGTGGAAACCGGCGTGGAGGGCCAGCCGGCGTCTGTTCTCCGTCACCACGGCCTCGGGGTCCCTCCTCTTGCTGCTTTTGAACAGGTTCAGGGAGGACAGAGTTGGGATGCAGGTGACCCCACCCGCCCGGGTGCTGAAGCCATGGCCGAAGCAGTCTGAGACCCAAAAGAAATCTCAGGGTCAGACGTTTCCTTCCCCTGTGTTCTTTGGGCTCTACACAAATCTGATTAAATCCCATTTATTTGAATCAGGTGAGCTGGAGCAGAGTCATCCAAAAAATGCCTCAGAGCAGCAGCTTTTATTTTGCACTATGAGGATTTATTTCTAACCAAACTCACCTGGCATCAGAGTGGACTTCAGAACTCGTATTTCCCCCCTCAGCGTGGGCAGCTTCTGCGCAAACGCCGCCACCTCAGCCGGGATTCCTTCCCCAGGTGAGCCCGTGTGGGCGGGGCCTGCGCAGCTCGGGCAGGTGAGCTTCTCCACCGGCATAACTTTATAATCAAAGGTGTAAACGGCCGTGAAAAGCAGCTCCTGGTAGTGACCCAGCACCTCCCGGCCCCTCCGGCTGGTCAGCACCGTTACGGAGCTCAGGTCCAGCCGGTCCACGGCCTGCTTGAGCCGGTACAGGTTCTCCGCGGTGGAGCCGGAGTCCAGCACCTGCGCGTCCCGGAACGAGGTCAGAAAGGAGTCCGTGGAGGCGCTTCCCTGCGGGCAGCCTCTCCCGCAAAGCAGAAAAAGACGCTGGTGCGATTCCCCCAGCAGAGACGCGCCGTTACGCGCCGCCCAGCAGCCGTGAAGCAGGTCCACCAGCACCGCCATGGTCTGCAGTTCACCAGTGCAGTGTCCGGTTCAGCGTTTCTGCTTTATACAACAGCAGGAGGAAGGCGTAGGACAGCAGAAATAACCCGGGAGCGCACAGCCGGGCCGCGCACTTCCTGCGCCGATTCGCTCCGCCCAGAGGGGAAACTCCTCTGCTGCCGAGGAAACTCTCAAACCGGCCGGTTTCCGCCTCCCTCTGCAGCCTTCTGCTGCTGGAGGCTCCCTGGGGTCAAAGAGCGAGCTGCTTTACGCGTGTTTCAATTGCACCAAAGGCAACAAGTTGCAGCAACTCGGAGCAAAAGTGGCTCCAACACAACATGAGGCCTCCGAAAGACCGGGCTGTGTTTCAGCTGGGGTATTTCCCCCCAAAAAGTGGCACAGCAGCTCCAAACGACTTTGGCATTAGAAGACAACAAGTGTTCCTTGGAGCTTTTTTTCCCCTTAATTTTACGTTTTTAAACAATGTTAACGTTGTGTGATGAATGAATCAAATTCGTTGCATGCATTTGAAATGCTTTCTTTTAGAGTTTCTCTTTTCCCCCCAAAATGATCTTTAGCTTAGATTTACTCCTTGTCTTTTGCTGGCCTAAATGTATTGGCCTGTTTTACCAACAACCTATAACTCTAAACCTCACATACCTGGATGTGAATACACTTGGATTAAGGCTGAGCTCCCTGTTAAACAATTTTCTATATATTTGTTTGTATGTATATATTTATCTATATTCTGTGTGGAATTTTGTATATATATATGTATAGACATGTATATATGTATATGCTGTTGTTTTATTTATGGAGCTGTAACAAAAATCATTTCCCTCTGGGATTATTTAAGTATTTCTGATTCTGACAATTGTCTATAAGGCCTCTGGTACAGTACAAAGCAGAGTAGACGTACAGTTTGTGGACAGTTTTGTTGGGGAAAAACACAACCATGAACTCACAACTAATACTGAAATGAAGGAACAGCTGGTCTGTACATTTTTCTATTCATTTTTGGGATGGATCGGATCTAGCTGTGGTTTCCCAGTTCACCGTGTTTCTTCCTCCTCACCAGTCTGCAGTGAGTCATGAAGAACGAGGAAGTCTGAGCTAAGCCTGCCATCATAAACGTGCTTTAGCTGCTCTGCAGGACATGGGAACTTTCTAAGGAAGTTTATTAGCCTCGGAGTGTGTTTATGAAACACTGGAAATAACGGTGGGAAAACATGGAAGTTCCACATGACAGAAAAAATGTTTTGTTTTGTTTCATGGTAAAAGACTCTCAGAGAGTGATATAGTTAAAAGAAGTTACTGTTTTGTCTTTGACATCCAATTATTTTGCACTTTACAGGCTAAATATAATGATGCATTTACAGTATGAGACACCAATGGTTAATCAAAAAAGAGTTTTCATTTGAAATTCACTTTATTAGTGTAAGTGTTGTACTTACTCAATACAACCAGCAGAGGGAGCCAAATATCCAGTTCAGATTTTACTAACTGGAGCTCGTTCATTCTCAAAAATTCTAAAACCTCACATTTATAAAGCCTAAAGTAAATCTCAAATAGAAAAAAAACATCCTTTAAGAGCCATATTTCTTCACCATATGATGATTTTCTGTGCTGTATTATTTGGTTCACGTCCAGTAGCACTTGCGTGCCATATTTTCTGAATGACAGGTCATGCTGTGGCGTGTCTCCCCGTGGACACCTCTGCAGCAGCCCGAGGAGCTTTTTCTAGTTTGCTGAGCTCTGAGGCTCCACGTCATCCGTCCTGACAAGGTTACAGCGCTCTGCTGCTCGGGGATTTACTATCAACCTGAATTTATTACACTCCACCAGGAGTGTTGCTTCGCTCCATCTGGACCAGAACTTTTTAACACCTCAGAGAGGATTTATAACAGAGGGGGGGGGGGGTGCATGTATGACTTTAGGAGCAGTTGGTGAAAAGTCAAAACATAGGCTATCTACATAAACCACTTAAGGATCCTTAATGTGTTTGCCTGATTGGCTCACTGTGTGCACCTGTTAGCTATGTTCAAATGGAATAATAAAAAAAGAGCTCCATTCTTCATGCAATTGCTGCACATTAACAATACACTGAATGGCTCTTTTTGTGGGGAATTAAATACAAAGCAAACACGGAGCACTTTCGTTAAGAATCACATTCTTGACATCTTCAGTCTTTGGGAATCTTTTGCAATCAATTCCCACCCTGGAAAGGATCATAAGACCAATTCCAAACAGTTTGGAAATCAGTCTATCGAAAAAGCGACCACTTACTGGTTTAACATCTTTACAGTGGCTGCCAGTCTTCCCAAAACTAGCTGTAAGACTGTGGAATGATCAGAAATATCTCAGGCTCTACAGACCTCTGTGAAAAACACTTAGGATGCCAGTCCAGAATGGCAGGGCCGGTGGTTTGGGCTGGTTCCTGGTGACCTGGGCAGTCACTGAGTCCATGAACTCCTCTGGATAACCTAGACACCAAGAGGCCTAAAGCTGGGTGGACACAGGGTTCATCAACAGGACAGGGACCCAAACACAGCAGCAGATCTACAACAGAAAGAAAAGAATCTGCAGAAATGGTTCGGTCTAGACATCAGTCTGACTGGAAGACTGTGGTGCAGAGACCAAATCTGAAAACCTAAATTAACGAGAGCTAAAGTGGACTAAAGATGCTCCAAAATCAAGTGATATAAAGCCATCAATATAACTTTAACTTCTTTCTGTAAATGGCTTTTGTTCTTGGAGTCCAACTCCAACTACATCTGCATTTAAATATCCACTGATCTCCATCTCAGTTTGTATTAAATCCACTTTATAAAGTAAAAAAAAAAGGCCAATAAAGAGAAATTTGGTCAAATGAACTCTTTTTAATGAAAGATTCAAGACTTATCATTGGATTGGACGCTTTCCAATGAACTTCCTGCTTGCCTGATAAGAAATAGTAACATTCTGACATATCAATCTGCTTTCCCAGTGTTATTATTGTATGGGGGGGGCTTCCTCCACAGAGAGAGACCGGAGCAGGCCGTCGTGCACTCGCGTCTCGGTTACGCGCCTTTCGGGTTCTCCGTCCAACCGGAGGCAGCATCAGCATCATCAGCATCAGCGGGCTGAGGCTGAGGAGGAAGAGGAGGCTGAGGCTGAAGGCTGAAGGCTGAGGAGGCTGCGGAGGCTCGGTGTCTCCTGCGCTGAGTGCATGCGCCGGAGTGCGTGAAAAGGGAAGCCAACACCAACCCGGAGGAACCCGGTCTCCAGCAGCTCCACCCGGGATATTTTCTCGCGGATTCCACATCTTCTGCCGGATCCGCGTGTCCCCGGTAAGGAAAGGTGTGCTCTCTCTCTCTGGCTGTGATTTGACCGGTTGCGTGAATGTTTTGTTCTCCCTCCCGATGGCACGCTCCTGTCATCCCGATGAACGCGTTTACTAGAAGGCTCGGGAGCTCAGGAGAAAAAAGCTGAAACGGTGCTTTAAAAGGCGAACGAAAGCTCTCCTGCGCTTATTTTTTTTTAATGATAATTGATAAGTTGATCTGATTCGAGTGGGCTGAGGTGTCTCCAGATGCAGCGACCAAACGCTTTTCCTCCAGTAAAAGAAAGGATGCCCAAACAATGGCTCTGTCGAAAGCACAGGGTTTACAGATTTCTAACTTCAAGTGCATATGAAATCCCCCATAGGCAATTTGAATATAAAGAATTCAAATAGAAAGTGCCAAATGGGTACAAGGAGCTTCTTTCATGTCCAGACATCACTTCTTTTTTTTTTTTTTTCAAAAGGACCCTGAGGAAAAGAGGCTCAGGTTGAGCTGACACAGATAACAGTTTGGACCTGAACGGCTGCCTTGATGGCTCTTTTTGGGGAATTTCGGTTGGGTTTTCCTGCCGTTTCTTCCCCGTGAGCTGATATGGGGAGGGGGGGCGGTGTTTTTTCGGTTGAGGGACGGTGGGAGAGAGGATGTCCTTGCTGTTGAGTCACCTTGACGACCCTTCAGCCGCACAAAGATTCTGCGTGGTGGCACAGACCGCCCGCCTGTTTCCCCCCCCCCCCCCGGCCTGCTCCTAGATGGTTTTACTGGAGTAGAAAAGCAAGAAAATCTAACAGTTATGTGACGACGTGTCGTAAAATCAAGCAGAAGAAGGCGTGTTTGAGCGGTTTAGCACCTCGTCTTAATCTACCGTGTAAAGAAAATGACGGCCAGAGCCGTGAAATAAACGTTGTGGAGTAAAAAGTGCAACGTGACTATAAAACCTGAGCGTAAAGTTGGCCGAATCGCCCGAGTAAAGCCTGAGCACCTCGAGAAAATATCGGCACACTGAGGCCCAGCAGCCCAACTAACAGATTGTGAACTCGTATCTAAACAAGGCCCCGTATAAATATCTTTACATGAGCCAGGTCCGAGCTCAAATTCTCCATCCCTGGATGTGTGTATCTGCACCCAGCTTCCTTTAATCGATCAACCAATCCTTTATGTAACGACACGACTGTTAAAATCGAATTGAACTTATGCAGGAATCCTAATCTGTTTACCATACCGCGCATTTTCTCGAGAAGCTGGGCCAGGAATCGTCTCTGGAGTTTCACAGGACGAGAGTTGGCTGTTTGTGCCAGAGAGATTCTTTCGTGTGGTTAAAGGGGTGGAAGTTGTGAGGAGGTTTTGGAGAATTTGTCGGCCATCTTGTACCCCGCTCATTAGTTCTCAGTAGTCTTTTGGTTTTACATGTTTGTGGGTGTCCCTTTTTTTTTGCAGCTGAGTTATCAATCATTTTATGACCCTGCAAAGCACAGCTTTATCTCTTTAGTGCACAATAGGGAAACCCACGGTTAAGGCACTTTATACTGTAACCTAAATGTAGTCATGTGGCTAATTTGTGCCCATATTACAACAGCCGAATCGAGAGAAAAGGATTGGGGTCAGGACTTGTCATAGTTTTCTCCAAGATGAGACCCGGCATATTAGAGCCGTCTTCCAACTTTAGTCCTACCGAGCACAGAGCATTTTGCAGATGAAACTGATTGCTGTACATGAATAAAAAAAGCTTTATTCATCCCATAAGAGTGGCAATAAAAGGTACGAAGACATTGTGTTTCACAGCCATTCTCGCCTTTTGTGTGGTTTCTTCCCGATCGGGTGTTTGTCTTCCTTCTGTCTTGGATACTTGACTCTGTGGGGTTGCCTGCGGTGTTGAAAAATGCGGCAAATCGAGCATTAAGCACACTTTACCACGGAGCTGCCCAGATGAGGTTTACACAACGTCAGATTGACTTGGCCCCTTTTTTCTGTCGGATTTATCCGCTCCAGACAAACGGCAGTTTTGTCAGCTTTTAATGCCATATCGCCGGACCAAAGGTCTAAAGTCGTACGACTTGTATTTAAATGTGATGTCAGCTACAGGAATAAACCATGCAACGTCACATTTATGATCCCAGTCTCAGTCAGGTCTAAATGCCCAGGATGGAAGCTAATGTCTGGCCACTTTTCATGGCTAATAATAGCTGGCCTTTTCAGTTAGCACCACAGGGGTTAACCGCCCACCAGGACATCGAAAGCTCGGGAAATGTCATTAGAAATGCAAACTTTATTTCTTTTGAGTGTTTAAAACCTTGCGTTAAAGGTTTTCTCGGGATCCTGACAAAATGGCGGCTCACCTGGGTGATGTATTGAATATTTCTGAGATGTTTCAGGAAATGCTTTTGTTTGGTCTGATTAACCAACCATCAGGTCATCCTGATAAATAACTCTGACCATAAAGATCTGAAGCACAACTCTCTGTGTACATGACACTGGCTACTTCCAGATCCAAAGGTTCTATGGACTTTCTCATAGAAATGAAGGCTTGGGCTCTTTCTTACACTTTCAGAGTTTTTTTCTTCTTTCGCTTGCATTTGCACAGAGGAAAGAAACACTGATTTTACTTGAAAGCTTGTTTACTGTTGGTAAACTGTCCTTCACATGTGGGCTCACGTTAGCCTGGGGCTTCAGTCTTTCTCAGCTCCTCTACCTTTTATCTTTTTGAGAGGATAGCATTAAGAACTGTTCCATTATTCCTTTAGTAACAAAGGCTATCTGCTGCTTCCACTCATGTGTTCGGCTCTTTGGCTGCTAAGATCAGTCACCATACCGTTAGTTTGTGTTGCAGACACTTCCGTTTATTTCCAGAAATAATTCACCGGGAGACATGAGCTGAGCATCCTGTAAAAGAAGATCTGAGTCCCCAGCAGATGCAGTATGGATGAAAAAGAGAGGGTCTTACCATGACCTTTTTAAAAAAATAATTAGAGTAAAATGAGTTTTGACTAGTATGGACCAGTAAGGAAAAAGCCAGTAGAGGCAATAATTTAGGGTCTTTAGTATGAGGCCATTTTTCAGAGACTGTTTGGACTCCTTTATATAGTTTTTGTATTGTGGTCTTGTGTACGGGTGGCGTGTTACCACCAGCTGTAAATGCTCTAAACGCTCTTATCTGATGAATTATTCTCAGCAGCTTAATCATCCGCTCTCTTTGTGACGTGCTTTGACCTTTTGAAACGACCCGAAACGCACATCAAATGAATAAAAAAACGGTCTGAAACGAAAAGGATGCGTTGATCTTAATTTGACTGACAGGAATCCTCTGGGGTGGGTAGCTACTTGTACTGTGCAGTTTTAAATGTGTGTAGAAGAGTGGCAGAAACAACCAGAGGACGGATGATGCAAGAAGCTTCTGGAAACCTTCAGAGTCTCTTTGTGACGCCAAACATTGCGACTCTGATGTTCTTTATCTTATCAGTGTCTTCTCACGTTTTTCTTCTCTCTTGCTTGGTAACAAAAGGACAGTTTGGGCAGATTTTTCTTATTTTAGCTTCTTATTTTAGCTCTCGGATTAACCGCCGCTGCTTTGCTCTTATAGAAAAACTCCCGAGTCCGGAGCGTGAATCCTTTCTGTTGCTAAAACGCTGATTCCCAAAAAAGCTGCAGGGACATGGATATACCACTCATCATCATCACCATCATCACCATCATCATCAACAAACAGCTTCTGCGTTGTCTGCGGGCAAAACAACCGGCCGTCGCATCACAAACTGACACCATGATGTGACGGCTGAATATCGGCTCCGGAGTCACTGCAGCAGAATTTGACACCCCCTCCGCCCGCCGGCGAGCGGCCGCCGAGGCTCTGTGTGTGCGGCGTGTAAGGCGCTGAAGGGATTAGAGCGCGGCCTGCCAGATCCCCCTCAGGCCTAACCGGGTTGTTGGGGACACAGGAGAGAACTGAAACCGAAGCACAACAGCCTCCGCCATTCACTGGACGGGCATCCAGCGTTGTGATTATGTGTTTTGCGTCTCATTACGGCGCGTGGCAAAAGCAGCCTGTTAGCTTTCCGTAATGTGATTATCCGTCCTCCTCGTGTCTTTTTTTGCAGATTCCGCCACGCCGCCTCACAAGCGCTAATTGACCCCACGCTGCAGAGCTCAATGGGGACGGCTGCCGCTAATTGCAGGCGGTATTTTGAGATGCGGTGGGAGCATTAGGCTGTGTTCCACCACGGGAGGAGTTACTCACGGGAGACACTTCCACCAGCTTTTCTATCTGAGTGAGAGCATCTTTTGGTGCTGTGCGTCGCTGGCTCACAACACACTGTGAGGAGACTGGAAAATAAAGAACGGCTGCTTTTATGTGGCTGTTTAATCTGCATCTCATTTACACTTATTATCATTTCCTCAGGTAATCCCACCTCTTTTCTGCCTGGTTTCATGTGGATGGTTTATTTAATCTTTAACATCATGACAGTGATAACCTGAGAATATACCAGAGTAGACCAAAAGTACAAAAATGACATTTATTGGACACAGTTAAGTACATCAGCGCTGGGCTCTTTACAGACAAAACCTCTCTCTGGGTCTCAGTAGGCAAAGAGCCCTGAGATCTGGGTGTGATGGGCATTATCTCCTGGTTTCGATCCACCTCTTTAAAGAAGGGCTGGACACAACCAAGTCCTATTGGCTAGTTACCTCTGGGCATAAACAGGCCAGGTCCTAATTCATGCAGATGACATTGGAATATGGTAACAAATGGTGTGTGTATGTGTTGACCTAAAGACATGGATCTAATGCAACAGAGAAAGAAAAAGAGAGATAATAAAGAGAGAGGAGAGAGTCTGTGGTCACAACCAGGGACCTCAACACAAAATATAGTTCTAAAGGAAAATAAAACAATCAGTAAATTACATAGATCATGTGATAGCATACAATGCTAAAATGAGTAATTATATCCAAATTCTAACAAAGGTATAAATGCAGTTAAGGGATTTTAACT